ATAGAAAAATGGGATGATGAATACAAAGCAGTGAAAGATGGTCCAGCGTGCATTCAAAAAGATCCATTTGTACACAGTTATATTGCTGAAGGCAATGAAGATTGTTTATTTTTGAGCGTATATGTGCCACACTCGGTAAAACAACAAAGAAATATTTCAAGCCATTTGGTACTCTAATATTATTTTTAGTTTGAGGGAAATTCTTCGAATTTGGCTATTTTAGTCTTTTTTCATGGAGGAGGATTTGTAGCTGGCTCTGGTATCAAATCACGACATGATCCTGCTTATTTCCTTGATCACGACATTGTGTTAGTTACGGCAAATTATCGTCTGGGTGCATTAGGCTTTCTCAGTACAGAAGACGCCAATTGTCCAGGAAATTTCGGTTTAAAAGATCAAGCGATGGTGCTTAAATGGATTCAACAAAATATTCAACGATTTGGTGGTGATCCAGAAAGGTTATATTTTATTTTGTGATTTTAAATGTTCATTCATGTATTTTGTCAATTCTAAATCAGTGATTTTCCTTAAAATAGTGTTACTATATTCGGATCGAGTGCTGGCGGTGCAAGTGTTACGTATCTAATGATGTCTCCATTAACTGAGGGTATTCAAAACATTTCAAAGGCTGAAACACATATAGAATAATGAAATTTCGATTTTGGTCAACATTTTAGGTTTATATTCCAAAGCAATTGCGATGTCAGGCACAAATCTTGCGCCATGGGCACAGCCAGCTCACAAAGGTGTTGCCAAAAAGCGAGCAACACAATTTGCAGAATATTTCAATTGTTATTCTCCAAATAATTGGACACAAACTATTGAATGCTTACGAAATGTACCCGCTGCCAACATTTCATCATCATTTTATGATTTCTTCGTAATTGTCATAATTTAAAGTGTTTATTGGATGTCTGGATTTTTTTAAAATACTTTCTTTGATGTAGGAATTCGACACTGATCCCATGGTAGTATTTCAACCAGTTGTTGAGCCTGATCTGCCTGGTGCATTCATGACGAAACATCCACGTGAAGAAAGAGCCGAAACCTCTTCAAAAATACCATTCATTACTGGGGTCACCTACGACGAGGGTCT